AATAATAAATCAAACAACAATCTTTTACTTGGGTTGATTTGTATTCTTTGTTTTTAAACTCACTCAATATGTTTAAACTTAGACACACTGGAGAGTACAACGAGAGAGATTGCTGCATACAAACATGAAATTTTGATATCTCAGAATAAATAAGTGACTGTCATGGACTCAGATGGAAGTTTAACAAAGAGTTGATATGTAGATCGTAAGAGGTGCTACAGCACAACAGAAAATTCTGTTAATATTTCCGTTGCAGCATGAAGTTTCATTTTGTTTACAGCTTCTCCAATAGGACAAAATGCACTTTATTTATGGCATCTTTTACATCTACAGTGATCTCAAAACCCTTTCCAGCCCAGTTCAACACATCATTCTGTTAGATTTGCCTCTAACAGATAAACAAAACTGCCAGTATGATTAAAAACAGCTAGCACAAGCCTATGTTTACATATAAACTCCCTGCCCATACTTATGTTAAGCTCAGTACAGTTTTGAACAATCTACAGTACAGTTGATTCCTGATTCAAAAGCCATCAAAAAAAAAAAAACCCTAAATGAGAACTAAGCTACCTTTCTAGTAGTCTAATAACAGAGTAAAGCAAAAGTTATGGAAACGACCACGTTTCTCAAAAATAAATGGCTATGGAAGCAATTAGTTCCTTTCGTAACAAAATAGGTTGTCAAATCCTCATTCCTCCAAATGTTAACCATTCACAAATCACTCTCTAGGCTTAATTCACAAGGTGTGTTAAGTTTTGGGAAAGTTTGAACTAAGCTAAAAAAAGTGCCCACTGGAATCAAAGGAAATACAGACAGTTCGGCCAAAACTTGAAATAGTGAATTATCTGTAGTAAAGCATACAATAAAAGGTGCATGTGTCTTATTATTCATCAGAAAACAGCTTTGAAAATGAGTCTGCTTCACTTTTATTTTAGACTAAAATACAGAATCTGTTACAGTAGTGGAGACTACACAACAATTTAAAACTTCATTACATTACCTCACAGAAATGCAGGAAAACCCGTTTCCTCAGACACTGAAGCCAGTTAGTAAAGGCTGAAATGTAGTTACTAGAAAACTTAGTTCTTGCACACTTTCATCAGCAGATATCAGAACACTACAGTGAAAGTCAATGTCATTATGCCTCCTCTGCAGACAGAGGCAACACTCTACTCAAAGTACTAAACATCCACAGTGAAATCAAGAGTAAAACTCACGTCTATCAGGCAAGCACTCCTAAAGTGTCACAGAACACAGTCCCATCGTTTGCATGGGTGAGCAATACATTAAATCCCTACACTTTTTGTAGAAAATTTTTTACTAATTCAGACTTTGGTCTAACAAAAACTGAAAAGGATTTATTTTTACCTCACCAACATTCACAACATGATGAATAGAAAACCACTTGAAGGAGTGGATGATTTTAACATCAAAATTAAAACCAATTAATTTATATGTATGTGTATATATACACACATACATACACACATACTAATATCGATAACATTACAAACCTATTCCCAATACTTAATATGGTGCAGCAGGGAAATTATTGGAACGACATATTTAGCATTTCATAGAAAAAACACCAGGAGCCTCTTATTTGAGCAAATATCCAAAGAAACCAGTTGTGAAACTGAAGTCCAAGGGCCACCTTCATCCCTTATTCTCAAATTGTCTTCCTCACAATTGCTTGCCTGTATGGAAGTGATTAAAAGAGTAAAAATAAAACAACTGTTGATGCATAAACAAAGTTTCACGCAACAGTTAGAAACCTCAAGACAAATAATCTCTAAATTTTGGCTCTAGAAGTCAAGTTACTACAAAAGCAGTTACAGGTACGGATCTATTTCTGAATACAGAAAAAAAAGTTACTAGAAGGCAAACTGGAGGCAGCCAAAATCAGCAAAAGTATTGTGTCAGATAAATAAAACAAAGGGGCATATTTATGATACATACACTTTAAATCAGCAAGATCTTACAAGCGATGATCACAAACTTTTATTCTGTGCACAAATTTCATAATATAGCCGTTATGTAATCCTAAATAGTTACTCTCCACATTTCTGAATATCTGACAATTTTGACACGTATGCTTTGAGAAGCCACTATCAGTGTAAAAAAACCCCAACTGATAGCATGAGACTTGCAATATATATACACCCAGAACTTTAGGGAGTAGGGAGGGAGAGGGCTTTTGTACCTTCTGCTATTACATTAACAAATGATTTGCTACCGAGGTAATACTTGGTTAATATCATGCATTTTAATCCATCTACCTTTTTTTTTTTTAAAAAAAACTTAGTCACTCTTAATCAAATCATAACTTTTTGGCTCCAATGTTTCTTTTAAGCAATGAAGTGTCTATATTCTCTAGATATCAGCAACATTTTTTGCAGTAGATTTAAAGTAGCTCTAAAGAACACATTTTCACAGTATCTTCCCAGTGCGTTACTTCTGATAGACTGAACATTTTGTAGCTCTCATTGAACAGGCAATGAACACAGGCACACCCTGATTCTAGATGTTGAGAATTCTCTAACACGTAACAACTGTAGTGCAGCTAGTCCTACGGCACCTTTTTTTCCTGGCACCAGGCTCTCCCGTATCACTGCGTCTGAGACTGTTCGGGCTTATTCCAAATTCATTCCCAACTTCGGTTTGTTCTAAAATAAATCCAATTCTGTACACTATGCACACCTGCAGGGATTTTGAAGGGCCTTCGCAATTACAGAGATGAGGGCTTCACGAGAACTTTCACCTCCTCTAAGGGAACGGCAGCAGCTGAAGGGTCCACCAGCTTCCGCCAACACCACTACAAACGGTACCGGCCTCAACCCGCTTCAGCCAGCCCAGCCCGCTGTGCCAGTTATTTTACGCCTCGTTCGGGTTAACAGAAGACCAAGACACACACACGCACATCCGCCCTCCCTACTAGCAAGCCAAAATTACGCTACAGACACAGACTCAGGTTGCGCGACGACAGCTCCCGGCGAGACGAGGCCGGGAGCAGAGCAGCCCCGGCG